AATGAACATATCAATGAATATATGAATATTGATGGCTTTTATACCTCATCATACATGGAGAGGTTGGGCCTTAGCCCAATTGGCTTGCTTTGTGGGCTGACCTTTGACTTTAGCACAATTGGAGAGTTGAACCTTGACCTTGGGCTTTTAATTGGATCATTTAATATCTAGGCCCAATTGGACTAAATTGGACCCAAACAAGTTTAAATAAAATGTGCTCAATATATATTATGTAGTACGGAGTACTTTTTTTTAATTGTAATCAGTGCTGTATAATAATATAATAAACAAAATAAAAGGTTTACGTTTACTTGAGTTGTATCCACTATACTCTACTCTTTACTACTTGCAAAAATTACTGAAGACTTCATATGATTCATGTTTAATGAAATTCCTCAACTGCTTTATTTTGACAACCGTAAGATGGTGGCATGACAAAGAATTGGAGCTTCAGCACCCTTCCGTTCACTTAAAATGTATTGAAGATAGATTGCCAACCGGACGGTTGAGATAGATCGATCGATGATGATTAACAAAATTCAATCAAGTGCGGGTAAACGGCGGGAGTAACTATGACTCTCTTAAGGTAGCCAAATGCCTCATCATCTAATTAGTGACGCGCACGAATGGAGTAACGAGATTCCCACCGTCCCTGTCACCTATCCAGCGAAACCACAGCCAAGGGAACGGACTTGGCAGAATCAGCGGGGAAAAAAGACCCTATTGAGCTTGACTCTAGTCCGACTTTGTGAAATGACTTGAGAGGTGTAGGATAAGTGGGAGCTTCGGCACAAGTGAAATACCACTACTTTTAATGTTAGTTTACTCACTCCGTGAGTCAAAAGTGGGGAAATGCCCCTCCTTTTAGATCTAAGGTCCGCTTTGCGGGCCGATCCGGGCGGAGGACATTGTCAGGTGGGGAGCTTGGCTGGGGCGGCACATCTGTTAAAGATAACGCAGGTGTTCTAAGATGAGCTCAACGAGAACAGAAATCTATCGGGTGGAACAGAAGGGTAAAAGCTCGTTTGATTCTGATTTTCAGTACGAATACGAACCGTGAAAGCGAGACCTAACGATCCTATAGACCTTTTGAATTTAAAGCTAGAGGTGTCAGAAAAGTTATCACAGGGATAACTGGTGGCAGCCAAGCGTTCATAGCGACGTTGCTTTTTGATCCTTCTATGTCGGCTCTTTGTATCAATGTGAAGCAGAATTCACTAAGTGTAGGATTGTTCACCCACCAATAGGGAACGTGAGTTGGGTTTAGACCGTCGTGAGACAGGTTAGTTTTACCCGTTTCGCAATGGTTATTCAACCTAGTACGAGAGGAACCGTTGATTCACACAATTGGTCATCGCGCTTGGTTGAAAAGCCAATGGCACGAAGCTACCGTGTGCTGGATTATGACTAAACGCCTCTAAGTCAGAATCTGGGCCAGAAGCAACGCATGCACCCGTCGCCCGATTTCCGTCCTACAGTAGGGGCTTCGGCCCCTAAGGGCACGTGTCATAGGGCTAAGCTCGCTTGGTGGATGCGCTGTGCAGTGAGAGCCGCCTTGAAGTACAATTCCTACCGAGCAGCGGGTTACATCCTTTGCATACGACTTAAATATGCGACGGGGTATTGTAAGTGGAAGAGTGACCTTGCTGCCACGATCCAATGAGATTCAACCTTATGTCGCTTCGATTCATCCCCCCTACCCTATTCCCTAAAAACACCTATATATTGGAAAACGAGGTTAGCGTTGCTTCTTATATGCTAAAAAATGCTAAGTAGTGGATTGAGACAAGTGACAAAGCCAAAGTTTTGGGGTGTGGGATGGTGCAAGGGGGCTTGTGGCATGTGCACAAGACATGTGCACCCAAGGACAAGGCATACAAACAACTAGTTTTGTCATTTGAGGGTATGCCATCGTTGCCTTAAGACATGGTGATTAAGGATGAATGAGATGGTTCTGGGCATCATCCATGACTCCCAAGTTCCTTTGGGAACCCATGGAAGTACTTGGATTCATAATCTTTTCGGGTGAAAAAATGATGTACGGAAGCCAAATTTGAAGGCTATAACACACGAAATCGGAACAATTTAGTAGGTGTCCGGACCCGGTGTCAGAAATTCACAGAATTTTACGGGATGCATCCCGAGGTCATATGACGTTGTTTGGACCCATATACAACCATAAGTCGGCTACATAAAGTCCCCGTGGAAGCTTATAGCCAATACAAGTGGCGTGTACGGAAACTGATAAATTGGATGCTTAACGACAAATTGGATGGTTTCACCCACCCAATTGGACTCCCCGAGGGTATTAGGGTCTATAGGTAGCTTCTCGGCAATTTTTGTTTCCGGGTAAAAAAAAGTCTGAAATTGGCAAAATTGAAGGCTATAATACACGCTTTTTGGCCAATTTCGGAGGTTTTGGGACCTGGTGTCGAAAAGCATCGAGCTACCAGGGGATACATTGCAGGGTCATATAATATCGTTTGGAACCATATATGATCATTATATGTTGTCATAAATGTCCGTGGTAGCCTTGAGTTTATAAAATCGGTGTAAGTTGTAAACGGGTAAATTGACAGTTTGAGGGTATATTGGATGGTTTTACCCACCAAATGGACTCCCGAGGGGTATTAGGGTCCATGGGAAGCATTTTGGCAATTTTTATATCCAGATCTAAAAAAGTGAAAATTTGTCCAAAATTGAAGGTTATAATACACGATTTCAGGTCATTTTTGACATTTTTTCGAAAATTGAAATGAATACGTGGAGTGACTCTCGGGGTCATACAAGGTAGTTTGAAACCATAACACACCTATAAAGATGTCTATAAAGTACCAAGAATTAGCTATGTTTTTATTTTGAAATTTTGGAATATAATGATGTCACAAAAGTATATTGAAGTGATATTACTTGACAAAATGATGTCATATTAATATTATGATGTCATAAAAGTATATTGAAGTAATGTGACTTGACAATAATGATGTCATATAATAATGATGGAAGTAATATTAATAATGATGTCATATAAGTATATTGAAGTGATCTAATGTGACTTGACAATAATGATGTCATATAATAATGATGGAAGTGATATTAATAATGATGTCATATAAGTATATTGAAGTGATTTGATGTGACTTGACAATAATGATGTCATATAAATTTAATGATGTCATATTATGTAATTATATTTATAATGATGTGATGTCAAAATATGATGGGACTTGACTATAGTGATGTGATGTGACTTCACACTATGGTTTGGAATTGGAAAAGAACACATGTTATATATGATGTAACTATGGATAATCATACTATTACTATTCACATGTGTGTTGATTGATGTGTCGATTGATAGACTATGTATAGTAATAATGCTTTTATGGAATCATCATACTAGTACTATTCATGTTTGTAATCTAAGTATCACATCTCATCTCATATTCCATCATCAACTACATACAAATTGTCCTTTAATCACCATGTCCCGGGGTCAATTGGCACATTCCCTGTATAAAACAACCTCGAAAAACGAGCATTAAGGGTAATACGGGATGTACCAAAGTGTCAAAATTACATTCCCCTACCGTTCCAAACCTTTTTCCTATGTTATGGGGTTGTTTCAGCAACTTTTCCTGTTTTTCCAGTTACCGCCTTTTTAACGTATTTTTCATTTTTGGGGCCCACAAAAAATATTTTTTGGAAAAAAAAGTGTCAGAATGAAGATTAATACGCATTCTTTGGATTCCATCAAAAAAATTTGGGTGTTATTATCACTTTTTCTCAAGTTTTGACCCATTATTGTGTTACTATCAGTCTGGTGTTCACTACAATTTTACAAGGGGGACAATAAAAGCTCATTAGGGGAAGGTGAGCAACTCAAGCTCTTTAGGGGAAGGTGGACAACTCAAGCTTGGGGCCTTCTCCAGACCTGAGGTAGGTTGTGTGCATTGCCAGACGCTAGTAGAATGCACATAGAAATCTCATTGGGGGTGAGGCAGAAATTATGACGGTATCATAGCTTCGAGGCCGGGAATGTTGACCCAGCGATTAGCTAGGAATGATGCAGACGCGACCTCGTATCTATGAAGCCGATATTGTTTGTCTTGCATTCGATTAATTGTTCCTTTGTTGACGTTGTGCTTTATGTTAGTTTGGGTGTTTTCAACTATTTCTTGTAACGACTTTTTGTTGTTTTAGGATACGTAGTTCGGTGATTCATTCGGCGAAGTAGTGGTACAACGTGAAAAATATATGTTGATGGGAAACCTATGTGAGTTTGGGGATTCCAGAAAATTCTTGCTACTACGTTTGTGGTTGTGGGGTTGCACGCTTGGAAAACCTTGGCGGACTAATGGAACTTCGTCTGTTGCCTTATTTCAGTCGTCTATGTAGGATATCCGCGAACCGATGAGGAAGTAAAAATTATAAACATATGAATTCGATTATTGTTTTTTTAACATATGTAGGAAAGAAAGATAATCATATATATATATATAAAGTTTGTCAAAGTTGACTTTTCAAATCAAATCATTCATATTTAATCGTTTCATAGATATAGTTAGATAAATCTTGAATAAGCCTTATTATATGGTCAAGATTTCACACCATAATTTGAGTACAAAGACCACAAACACTTGCTACATTACAAAGTTAAAAATAGTTCTTAATTACTATTGATCTCAAAACATTATCAAATATCAATGGCTTCTCTTAAGAGTGTTCTCATTTTCCCCATAACTTAACTTTCTCTTTTCCATTTCGAGTTCTCAATGCTAATGTTAAGGATGACTATCCGTTTAATTTTATCCCTAACTTTTCTTTTACCCTTAAAGTGTGTAACCATTAGCACGAGACATAGTTACCCTTTTAAAACTCCGGTTTGATAGAGTTTCTCATCAAAAAACAAAAATGTTGAAATAAATTTGGCAAATTATACTTTTCAATTCGTTGACAACATAATTTCTGATATAGCTTTATAAAAATCTTGAACAATTGTGTAAGAATGGTCAAAGCCGCCTAATTGTGTGGTTGAAAATTCACACCAAGTAAAGTTCGAGCACAAAAGCTTTCTGTTACAAAATTATAAATGCTTCTTACTATTAATAGATTATTACTCCCAAATAAAGCATTTGTTTGATCTCAAAACATTATCAAATATTAATGGCTTCTCTTAAGAGTTTGATCATTTCCTACACTACCTTACTTTCTCTTTTCCATTTCGAGTTTTCGAATGCTAATGTTAAGGGTGGCTATTGGTCTCCTGACGATGGCCTCGAAGCCTCAGCCATCGATTCCACTCTTTTCACCCATCTCTTTTGCGCTTTTGCCAACCTTAACTTACAAACATACCAACTCACAATTCCTCCGGGATGCCAAACCTTCCCTCGAACAATCCGACAAAAGAACTCGGGGGTCAAGGCCATCTTATCCATCGGTGGAGGGAGCGCAGCCTCCTCTGATTACAACAACATGGCTAGCCAACCTAGCTCTCGAAAAGCCTTTATCGACTCCTCGATAAGCCTTGCCACGAGTAATGGTTACAACGGGCTAGACTTAGATTGGGAGCAACAATCTAAGAAAGAAGAGATGGACAACATGGCAACCCTATTAACCGAATGGAGGGCCGCAATAAAGGCTCAAGCTCCGAACTTGATCCTGACCGCGGCCCTTCGTTTCACACCTATAGCTAATTCCGTAGCTACATTCCCTGCCAAAGCTATTGCAGATAACCTAGACTGGGTCAATGTCATGGCTTACGACTTTTATGCATCAAGTTGGGTTCAGCCTCCTTATGTTACTCGTCCTCATGCCGCCCTCAATGATCCAACCGGCTCCACAGTGAGTGGAAGTAGTGGGATTGCTGCCTGGATCAAGGCCGGTGTACCGGCTAATAAACTCGTGTTGGGTGTACCATTTTATGGGCGCGCTTGGCAACTGGTTGACCCTAATAACCATGGTATATTGGCACCAGCAACTAATTTTAATGATACTTTGGTTCAGGGAGGTACGCCTACTTATAAGAAAATCAAGGATTTTATCAGTCAGAATGGTGCAACGGTTGTGTACAATTCTAGTTACGTTACTAATTATTGTTATTCCGGGATGACTTGGGTTGGTTATGATGATACACAGACCATTGCTACTAAGGTTGCTTATGCTAAGAGTAACGCCTTGAACGGGTATTTCGCTTGGAAAATTAACCAAGACTATAATTGGGCTCTTTCTACACAAGGTATGTTCAATTATGTTTAAGTGTCTAATTTGGCTAGCTGTGTTATGTTGAATCAATAACAATCTGGAATTTTAAATAAGTAGAATTTGGTAACATTATTGGACAAGCATATAGCCTGATTAGTTAGTAAATCTTAGTTAAATTATTCGATTTATCTATAAAAAATTAAGTCGAAAAGAACATGATCATACTTGACTGCATATATACGTGTAACTATGTAAGAGTACGTGCATAAACATTGTATACATTTGGAAATCCATAACAATTAAGACCTCAAACAATGTTTTATTTCGGACAAATGACCAACAATGTTATTTGAATATTGCAGCTTCACAGACATGGGGATCATAAACGTACGAGTGCCGTAGCTAAAAGAGAACAAGCATGCTTTCCCATGGAGTTTAAATAAAATGTGCTCAATATTATGTTTTTATTTTTGTTATAATAAGCGTGGTATAATATTTTCTATATTCTACTCTTTGTTGTACTACATTACTACATATATTTCTATCACGCAGACGGAGGTACTCAGTTGAATATTGTTGTATAGACTGTATAGTCAATAGTGTTAAAAATTAGTACTATTATATGTGGCCAAATCATTTTTTATGACAATTATGTGACACATTAGAATAAAAGTTTGTATTACGTAGTTAATGTATGAGAAAATTATGTGACACATTAGAATAAAAGTTTATTGGAGTATTTAATTATGATCTTAACTTTTTTTTTTTGAAACAATTATGATCTTAACAATTAATTACTCCGTATTACAACCTATCTATCTATCTATACTATAGACTAAAGTAATTACCAAAAGGGACACTTGGCATAATTTCGTGAAAATTTTCCCTTCAAAACATTACTTTTTTTAAAAAAAATATTAAAAAAAATAAAATTATTTTAATAAATTTTATATATACTCCTTCCGTCCTTTTATTAGAGTCCACTATTCCTTTTTTGATAAATTATCAAAATTTAAAGTCCCATTGTTAGAATCTTTCCCTTTTTAATAAGTAGTTTTTTTTTTCTTAACAATCTTTAAACAAAAAAAATTAAGAAATTATGAATATGGATCACTCGAAAATATGAATATGGATCATTGAATGATGAGGATTGACCCTAATCTGTTTGTTAATTAGCTCCTTTATTCCATCCATGATTATTGTTGTACATAACCTCTATATTATTCTCTATTATTGTTGTAATCTTTTGTTACTTTTCTTAATTAATTGTTAATGGAGTTTGAAGAGAAATGCTGAAAAATAATAAAATACGAAGAAATTGGGGTTGGTGGAAGAATAATTGTGATAGTTAAAAAGAGAGAATAAGGAAATATTAAAGTATAATAATTAGGGAGTTCACTAAAAAAAAAAATTAATAAAATATTATGAAAGGTTTCCAAACCATGAAATAGAATAGTTAATAAAATATGGTCGCGAAAGAAAAGTGAAGAAAGTATTCTGTAATAAAATATAGAGGGAGTAATGTATATTTATTGATCGTATATGTCAATAAAATATAATCACTTCTTTTCTATTCTTAATATTGAAGATCGAAAGAAACGACTTCGAATTTATCGGCGAATCATAGATGACTAATAATTTGGATTGTACTTCTATTCAATCCCTAAATACGATTATTTTATCTGTATTTTAAAAAGAGTACACATATATGTGTTAGGGTCAATAACGGATAAAAATAAATTAAATTGGTTATACCAAGCCTTGAATTCTAATATAATAAATATAAGCAAATCACAATAAATACAAAGAAAACAAGTTAATGTTAAAATAATGTTGCAAATTTAAATTTTTTATTGATATTAATTTAAATTTTATATTGATTTTTGTATTTAACCAAAAATAGGGGCTTAAATAAACTCTTAAGTGTCCATTTTATTGATATGAATAATTAAGAAAATTTATTTATTTTAACAAAAAAATTTAGTGGGGACAACTTCCCCTTATATCGCGCTGGATCTGCCAGTGCGTAATGGAAGTAAAATTATAAACGTAGAGATTGAGAATTATAATTAAAAGATATTAAAGACAAGATAAGTAGTAAAAAAAATGGACAAACAATATTTAACGTGGAAAAAATTATATAATAAAATTAAAAAATTACAAAAAAAAACCGACATGAAGCACTAAAGAATAGTACAAGCAAAGTCTCACTATAGGAATTAACCAAAGAGTAGTACCAAAAAGAATAGTGAATTTGCAGAGATAAGATGTATTGTATATTTGTATACAAAAAAGGTAGATAGGTTTATGTATAAGTATGGCTAGCTTTTTGTGTACTGTGTGTATGTTCCTTGGTTGAATGCCTATGACCTCTATTTATAGTTGAACATGGAGCTTGGAAGAAATAGTAGAAAGATTCCAGAAATTCCTCCATCATTCTTGTAGCCATATATTATATTCTTAAATGTTCACGAATCATATATTCTAGTTACTTTCAATGTTAATAATTTTTTAAAATATTTAACTAGATAATCTAAACAAGAACTAACCTTACTTGATGATTTTTCATGAAAATTCTAAAATATGCACAAATATTCCATTAAAATATTGGACCCATAAAATGTGGACCACACCCAACAACATGACATGTCCCAATTGAGAAGATAAGATTTTCATTTATGGAGTAATAGGTTTTATCACATGATATATATATAAAGAAAAGAAAGGTAATATAATTACCTCCGAATGTGCAAATTTGGGGTATTATTTTTTAAATATAAAATATTTTAAAATTGCACATAACTTTTAACTGAGGTAGTAATTATAATTTACAACTTAAAATCCAAATCACTTACTAAAAAAATCCGACTTCATATACTAATCATTCCTCAACAGAATACAAAAACGTTGAAATAATAAGTGTGGTACATATAAAGAAAAAAAAAAAGGTAATCTAATTAGTTTTTCTCTCATAATCATTTGTCAACAGAAAACAAAAATGTTGAAATAATAATAAGTTTGGCAAACTTGACTTTTCAACTCATTCTTGGATAGATCTTGAATACTAATGTAAGAATTGTCAAAGCCTTATCATATGGTCAACAATTCACACCATAATTTGAAGTCAAAGGCCACAAACACTACTTGCTATTACAAAGCTATAAATACTTCTTACTATTGACTTCAAAATATCATCAAATATCAATGGCTTCGCTTAAGAGTTTGATCATTTCCTACATTACCTTACTATCTCTTTTCCATTTCGAGTTCTCGAATGCTAATGTTAAGGGTGGCTATTGGTCACCAGACAATGGTCTCGATGCCTCAGACATCGACGCAACTCTTTTCACCCACCTCTTTTGCGCATTTGCAAACCTTAACTTAGATACATACCAACTCACAATTCCTTCGGAATGTGAATCCTTCCCTCAAACCATCCGACAAAAGAACTCGGCGGTCAGGGCCGTCCTATCCATTGGTGGAGGAGACGCAAAATCATCCGATTACAACAACATGGCTAGCCAACCAAGCTCTCGAAAAGCCTTTATTGACTCCTCGATAAGCCTTGCTAAGGATAATGGCTTCGACGGGCTTGACTTAGATTGGGAGCAACAGACTAATAACGATGAGATGAATAACATGGCAACACTTCTAAATGAATGGAGGGCCGCGATAAAGGATCAAGCTCCGAACTTGATCCTGACCGCAGCCCTTCGTTTCACACCTATTATTAGTGAAGGAGTTTCCTTCCCTGCGGATGCTATATCCGCTAATTTAGACTGGGTGAACGTCATGGCTTACGACTTTTACGCTACCGGTTGGGTTCAGCCCCCGTATGTTACTGAACCTCATGCCGCGCTCTTTGATCCAACTGGCAACGATGTGAGCGGAAGCAGTGGGATCGCTGCTTGGATCAAGGCCGGTGTACCGGCTAATAAACTCGTGTTGGGTGTACCATTTTATGGTCACGCTTGGCAACTGGTTGACCCTAATAACCATGGTATATTGGCACCAGCAACTAATTTTAACGATACTTTGGTTAAAGATGGGACGCCTAGTTATACAGAAATCAAGGATTTTATTAGTCAGAATGATGCAACGGTTGAGTATGATTCGAATTATGTTACTAATTATTGTTACTCCGGGACGACTTGGGTTGCTTTTGATGATACACAGGCCATTGCTACTAAGGTTGCTTATGCCAAGAGTAACGCGTTGAATGGGTATTTTGCTTGGCAAATTAACCAAGATCTTAATTGGGCTCTTTCTAAACAAGGTATGTTCAAATTAAACTTTCTAGTTTTATTTAGTGTGTTCAATTTGTCTAGTTAGGCTATGTTAAACTAATAACGACCATAAGTTTATTTAACTGGTAAAATTCAACATGACATGACTAATTAGTAAAATTTAATTTCAATCAATAAAAATAGGCGAGTAGAATGTGACTTTGACTAGTTGACTAACTACGTATAAACATCATTGTATACATTTTCGAATCCTTGACAAATTAACATTTAATTTTTTCTTTGACGGGACAAATTAACACTTTAAACAGTATTATTGATGCTTAACTATGTTTTGATTTGATGCTTATATATTGATCAGATTTCAGAAGAGCTAACTAAAGTAAATTTCTTTGAATATTGCAGCTTCACAAACATGGGGATCATAGTGCCATAGCTAAATGGGAACTACCATGCATGGGAATGAAGTTCAAGTAAAATGTGCTTAATATTATACGACTTATTTCTATTTTTTAAGTGTTTAGTGTCATAGTTTGAATAAAATAAAAGTTTTACATTCACTTAATTCTTCTCCTTTGGTTGTACTTTTTTGTTAAACTTCGTAATGAAGATGTGAATCGATCTCATTCAGAATCCCCTGAAATTAAAAGAGAAATTCTAACCAATTGAACTATCTCTTTATCTCACAACACATGGCTTTATAAATCATAAACATAACCAATTTTTTGCATATTTTATTGAAGCGGTGATTGAAATAACGTATAAAAAGTATCACCAAACTCCCTAATCAATTTAACTTCATCAACAATTAATACTTCAACGCTTTGCATTACAACTCCAACACCAAGAAATGCAATCCATAAGTTTGATCGGGTTCATAAAATAGGGTACAAGACGGGTCGGATCATCCACTTAATGTACGGGTTGGATTATTAAGTTTGAAACCAATAGTTAACGTGTCATAAAAACTTAGCCTCAATCAGCCCACTCCTTAGTCAATGAATTAAAGGGTTGAACATCATAAATTGTTATGCGTGTTATGTAGTGTGCTACATTTTTGGACAATGAACATGAATTCTTTATCATACTCAACTACCAAGTCAAAATTTTAAGTTGATGGGTTATCTCTTAAGATCATTTTTTCCCTCTAGTTACATGTAATAAGACTATTATCCCTTACTCTTTTAATCGACTTTGGATTATTTTTTACCCACGTCTTTCGTGTTAGTCATTGTTAGCCTTCCTCGACTTTAATTGAAATTCTCATAGTATGTACCAATACGTCTACTAGTTCTTTTCATTTTAACAATAATAACATTTATAAATCCGAATTTCTTCAAAGTATCTTTGTTTCGAAATACATACTTATAAGAGTTCATCCATCATATAAGAGTTCTAATAATATCTACAGTTCTCTCACATTATCCTCTATTCCTCAAATGAAATTCGTATAAAAACAAATGGCATACATCATATTTGAAGTCATACATAGTTAGTTGCTTATAAGAATTCATATACGCAAGTGGAAATGTCAAAGTCTTATCTCATGGTGTAGAATTTAACATAACAAAATTAAAAGAGTGAGGACCAACTATTGTGAATTTGTGATTGTGCCCCTTGACGTTGTGCACATGCTTGCTATTAATAGGTAGGACTAATTTTGTTTCGAAAATACTAGTTACAAATTTGCTTTTGCACTATTCATATACTTCCTCTGTTCTTTTTTACTTGACCCGCTTTGACTTTTACACTATTCATCACCCCTCCTTTGACCGTGTTTTGTGAATAATATGTAAGAAAAAACATATTCATGTTGAATCATTTTGAATTCGTCTAAATAAGTACTATCATACTATATAATTTTTATATTTTTTAATTATGGAGAGTTAAAGTTATTGACCGTTATAGTTTTGCATTGACAAGCGTGATAAAAGAAACAGGTCAAGTAAAAAAGAACAGTATATTAATTTTGATTAACATATAAAAGATATCTCGTATAATATATGTAAATTTAGTCTCAATATATAATTTTAAAATCTAATTTTTATTAATACAAAATTGAATGTTTTTGTGATCAACTTGTACATTAATACATACGTCAGTCAAATACAGATGGACAATTTGCTTAACAACTACATTGATAGCTAGTGTTCAATTGTATTAATACTTGTTTCAAAAAAAAAATTGTATATATATATACCACTATAACTCTTTCAACCCAACCAACCTTTACTTACATTACAATGGCTTCCATAAACAACCATTCCTCTCTTAAGAGTATTATTTCCTTCATTGCTCTCCTTTCACTTCTCCATTTCCCATTTTCGAGTGCGGTTAAGGGTGGCTATTGGTTTCCCGATAGCGGCCTAATCGCCTCGGAAATCGACTCCACTCTATTCACCCATCTCTTCTGCGCATTTGCCAACCTTAATACTCAAACCAACCAACTCTCAGTCCCACAACAATGCTCCTCATCCTTCCCTCGAACCGTTCGACAAAGAAACCCGAACGTTAAAGCCCTCCTATCCATCGGTGGAGGGAGCGTACCATCATCAGATTTCAACAACATGGCTAGACAAGCAAGCTCCCGAAGAACCTTCATCGACTCCTCGATCAACCTAGCCTTAAACAATGGTTATGACGGCCTCGACTTGGACTGGGAGCACCAGTCCACAGTCGAGGAAATGAACAACTTAGGTACCCTCCTTAATGAATGGAGGGCCGCGGTAAGAGCCAAGGCTCCGAATTTAATCCTAACCGCGGCCCTCCATTACTCGCCTAGACCTAACCCAGCAGCCACTTTCCCTACACAAGCCATAAACAACAACCTAGACTTCCTCAATGTTATGGCTTACGACTTCTACGCTCCCGCCTGGTCCCCTCGGCCTTACCTCACTCGACCTCACGCCTCGCTCCGTGACCCTACGAGCAGTGTGAGCGGAAGCAGTGGGATTTCTGCTTGGATGCAAGCGGGCGTGCCAGCTAATAAACTAGTCCTTGGCGTACCCTTCTACGGGTACGCCTGGCAACTATCGAACCCTAACCAAAACGGTATTTTAGCACCATCTAATGGTGGAGACACCAGTGTTGGTCAGGGTACGCCTAGTTATAGGCAAATTAGGGACTTTATTTCGCAACAAGGTGCAACGGTTGTGTATAACTCTACGTATGTTACTAACTATTGTTACTCCGGGACGACTTGGATTGGTTATGATGATACACAAGCCATATCTACTAAGGTCACTTATGCTAGGAATACCGGCTTGCTCGGGTATTTCGCTTGGAGTCTCGGCCAAGACCGTAATTGGGCTCTTTCTAGACAAGGTATGTATGCCCAACAAACATGTTTCAATTCGGGTTTTGACTTGTTACTAATTATTGATTATATATAAGTATTAAATATATTTTAAAATTTTTATGTTGTTGCAGCTTCACAAACATGGGGATCGGGGGCACGAGTAACGGACCCAGAAGTAGAATGGAATGTACTACATCCCTTCAGTTTTTAATTTCCGCACAAGTGTTATTGTATAAGAAAACAAAACTTATCTTTTTATGTATGAGAGTAAGCCTATTAAGGTTATGTATCGATCAATGTATGTATGTATGTCTAATAAGTGTCGTCATAATTAATTAGGTGTGATGTATACTCATACCACATGAGACACAAAATAAATGTAGTGTATGTACGTCAGGCCCGACTTTAAGGAGGTTTTTCCTCACACACGTAACAGGGCCCCCAAAAATTAGGGGTCCACAATTTAAAAAAAAAAAATCATTGACTTAAAAAAAAATCTACTTTACCTATTCATCTTCTTCCTTGTAAAAACCTCCATTTTGAAACCAAAACTCAAAAAATCTTCCTATCCAAAATTCAATCTCTTTTGTCTTGTGATTTCCAAAACAAAATTAAATTCACTCAATAATTATCACTCATAAACGCCTATTTTGCTTAATTATCTCCAATTCACTTAATTTTTTCTCTTTTTTTTGGCAAAATTGAAGAACAATTTATACTCTTATCAAAATCAATGACGATTCAATAGATATTAACGGTCAAAATTTTATTAATTTATACTAATTTCTAGATCAAGCAATACACACAAAATATACTAATTTCTAGATCAAGCAATACACACAATTCAGTTTTCTTTCAATTTTAACTCAATTCAAAAGGTGGAAAAAACGTTAATGGAAGCAGTCAATATTCTGGCGAACTGTTCTTGTTCGGTGGATCTGGAGTGGGCAGAGGTTGATTACTTGATTAAAGAGCAGGTTGTATCTATCTATATATATTTGTTATCTTAATTTATGCATAATTTTTTTATTTCTGAAATATAAATTGTTGTTTTTTTTAATTATGGCTCCTAAAATTAGGAAATATGATTTTGGTTGTGAAAAACGTCAAAAAAAAATGAAGAATTGACTCAATCTAGAAATATGATTCTTGTTGTGAAAAACCAAAAAAAAAAATCATTTTATAATAATAATATTTTAAACCTTTTATAAATAGTCCTTTAAAAATTTAAGGGCCCAATTTTTATAATTAGAACAGGACCACTAAATTACCGGAGACGGCCCTGATGTACGTGTTTAGTACTATGACGTGTTTTAAATGTACCACTTGCTGAAATAATGTTAGTAGTAATTAATTTATCTAAGGTGTTGTACAACTGTGTTGACCCATTAAGAGTATGTTGAGTTACTATCAACTTTCGTTTCAGAAGTGTTTACAATTATTTTTCTATGGTACTTAATGCAAACCCTTAATTTTACGGTTTAAAATGTTAATCCAATGTGTTACGGGTAATATTTTTAGGTTAATCACTAGCATAGTGCCCGTGCGATACACGGTTTATAAATCAAATTATTAAACCCGTAGGAAAAATAAAAATAAAAACATAGGTAATTCGTTTACTATTAAAGGACTTGTATTAATGGTCAATAAAAAAAATTAAAGGAACGTTATTTGAATAGTGTTTTATGTTATTTGAATTTCTTTTAATTTTTTATAATGTTATTTTATTAATTGAAAAGTAATTGAATAATACTCCACATAGCTATATAAGAAGTGGACTAATTTATTTATATCTCCCGTTGAGAAAAAACTAACGCATCAGTAGCTACAATCAATCTAATATATACATGTTTTATTTACCCGTCGCACTCATTAAATCTATAGACACAATAATAGCCTTATATTTGACCTACCAGAACATATATTTTCCTAAGTTAAGCATTGTGCCAAAAACTATATATTATATAATAGTCATATATAACCAACAACTGATTAAATATAGTATACGACACAAATACTCTTTTTACATATATTTTCCCCCATTTAATTTTAAATACCTTAAAATTGTCTCTTGAATTCGCTAAATTGATTTAAAAGGTTATGTTTATTTCAATATTTAAAGCCATTTATTATTTTCATTTCCTTTTGTTTTAATTTTTCTATTTAGAATTTATTAGACTATTAGGTTTCAAGATCGAAGTCAATATCTTTTTACCGTACAATCACTAAATCAAAGTCGCTCAACTAAAGTTTTGGACATTGCATAGCTACACAACATCCAACACATTTAATGATTACATGCAAATAATTTTTATAAAACTACACATTCGATATAAGTTATAAAACAATTTAAATATATATACATTTTGATAGGTTTATATCTTTCATATTAAAAAAAATGTACAAATGTTATTATTATATTTTGAAAAAAAAAAATTAGACTTTGGAGTTTTGTATCAGATAGATAAAGGATATTCTCGTCATATATATGCATTGAGTTCTGGGTGTTCTATCCGGTTCACCCTTTGGGCTAATCCAGATTTGAGGATCAATTCTAGGTTTTTAAGTTCCACTCCCCTTCCGATTGTTGTTGCAGGGGAGCACATACATTTTGATAGGTTTATATCTTTCATATATTAACAAAAATTTACAAATGTTATTATTATATTTTGAAAAAAAAAATTAGACTTTGGAGTTTTGTATAAGATAGATAAAGGATAAGTTAATTCCCGTCATATATGCATTGAGTTTTGGTTGTTCTATTCGGTTCACCCTTTGGGCTAATCCAGATTTGAGGATCAGTTTTAGGTTATTAGGTTCCACTCCCCTTCCGATTGTTGTTGCAGGGGAGCACACAGGTCCTCCTTACCAAATGTAGTCCCAATCACCACTACACCAATTGGTGTAGTGGTGATTGAGACTACACTTGGTATAGAGGATACGTGCTATAAAATATTATATTATATTATATACTTTTTTATATTATAAAAAATATTATATTATATACAAGTATTATTATGTATAAAACAACATAAATTATTGCACATGATTGTTGTATATCTAGTATAGTACATGAGCAATGCACGATTTTTAAATCAAAATGTTAGTTTTTTCTGAAAAAAAATTCATAAGTAATAGCATTGTTAATACGAATATTACAATTTAAAACATGAGTAATAGTTATAATACATTTTATATCTATCCCTTTTCCGTAAAATGTCTAATTCAATTTAACTTTTATTCTTCTTGTTTAGATTGGTTATTGGTTCAGTTTTTTTTTTTATGCAAGAAAAACAAAAGGTCATTGTAAAAGACATTGTATAGAAAATGAAAGGCCGATTAAAATTAAATTTATGTTCAAGATTATGTATTTTTTTTCCAAGACAACATTTCGGCTTAGCATTCAGTATTTGTCAAGGAGTACAACAAACGATAAAAGTAATTTTTACACTATTTTAATTTGTATATTTATCAAAAACTTTTGTATTCATCCGATACCTGAATTGAATTTAGGATAACTTGTAGACTATTTTGGGTAACTTTTATCAATAAAGCATAAATAACTTTCATTCATTACAGGGTGGCTTTTATAATAGGTACACAATATTGTATTGTACATCTGATTTTTTATAAATGTTTGTATTGATTTCATAATTGATGTCAAACTAAATATTATTGATTTTATTTAATTTTCATTAAAAAAAAACCAATATTAGCCTTTCAAAATACGAAATATTTGTTTCCTTAATTATTCCACTTTAATCATATTGCTTCAAATTAGTTATTATTCTTTAACTTAACTATAAATAAAGATTGGAAATTTTTTTTGGATTATTTGTACTATTGGAAAGTATATATTTATTATAAAAAATTAAATCAATATTTATGTTAGGAAATCATGAAAATCTTGTGCATGTATAGAAACTTGCTTTTATTGTTTGAAGTTTAACAAAAATAACTATGCTTGAATATGTAAACAGTAATTATATAGATATATTTTATACATAAGATAAACCAATGAGAGAGTGACATTTGTCATCCTCACATTAAGGTGCTTGTCTTTTAGTATAATATATAAATAGATAGATAAATAGATTTTTGTGTACACCGAACTCGATATTAGAATTTAAGAGACTAAGGGTCAGGGCAAACACAAATATATTCTTGTAGTAAAAAACCAGACCCAATTGAAGAATAAACACATTATTAATCTGAACGTTCAACCCACTAATTTATTTGCTAAGCCCATAACTGCCACACCCAATATGGCTACATGAGGATTACATAAAGTAGGGTTATACAGGGCAGCAATAGGGTGGGCGGAATGGGCCATGACAGATTAACAATTTTTAGCAGTTGTTGAAGGCCAAGATCAGGTACATATTCACGGTCCCTCGTTTAAAAATGAACATTTATTGTAATAAAAATGAACTTTTTTTGACTGAACATATTTTACAATAATTTTTTATTTCTTAATTATTAAATGTTCATTTTCATGTAGTATGATGTTCTTTCTAATAAAATTAATGTTCATTTCCATGTAGTACAATGTTTATTCGTACAAAATAACCATTGATTTTGTTAAGAGAAGTATTGGCCAAAAAAGCTTCGGTGACACCAAGAATAGGGTCTTTAGGTGCCAAATCCACATGACCACACCACATCGACGACGACAACCTATGAGTTCCGCCCATCAATGGCGGAGTTCTGGAGGTGACTGCTCGTGATACGGCGGAGGATGTGGCTCGTAGTAATGTCGCAAATTTAGGATGGATTTAAAGGTTTGGACAAAGAAAATTGTGGTGGATTTGGAGGAAGGCGATGACAAAGTGAACACCTGCTCCTATAAATGGCGGAGTTCAAGTGGTAACTGATTGTGATATAGCAAAGGATATGGCTCGTAATGGTGGTGAATTTGGAAGAGGACGATGACAAAAAAAAAATTGTGAACATTAATATTTTAAGAATGAATATTTGATAGTTTGAAAATGAATATTTAATTTTGTAAGAATAATTATCTTATAGTAAAAAAATGTTTATTTTTGTTATATTATATGTTCATTTTCAAATTGAGGGACCAATAAAAAAATGGCTGGACTTGGGACCAGCTAAAAATTTGCGCAATTTGTAGCAAATCAATATACTTATGCCAAAATTGCCCCATTTTACTTTATTTTCATGTATTTTAATTTAAATAGGTTCTTGTCAAGAATAAATAAATAAATAGGCCTAGTTTAATTTTATAAGTTTGTTCAAGCTTTGAATTAATAAGCTATCAAATTCAATTCAATTTACAACTAAAATAAATTCTAATAAGTTTATTTAAGCTTAAGTTATTTATGAAGAGTTTTTTTTTTTTTGAAGGAATAACCAGATAATCACAATTTGCATTATTTTTTCTTAAAAAATTGGATATAAATACATCTAATATATTTATAAGGATTTTTTGACTTTTACCACAAAAAAAACCCCAATTTATTATAACTACTTGTACACTGTATTCATAACTTAGATTTAACAAAATTGGACCCTTATTTTCTGTGGGCCCTGGGTCAAATACGGATCTGCTATATGCAGAGATGATTCTAACGTAGTCTTATTACTCTTGATTACCACAAATTTTTAAAATGGATGGTTGAGATTATTTGTTTTTTATTATTTATTTCTAATTAATAATTTTAATTAAAAATCATTTTATAATTATTTTAAAAATATTTTTTATCTTCCAATTTTTTTTTTTATATTTTTGAAATTCAGAAATAAAAAATATATATAAAATAATCTTTAACTAAAGTTACTAATTAAAGATAAATAAAAAAAATCTCAGCCATCTATTTTTAAAATAAATTGTGATAATCAAAAGTCATGAGACTAAAATAGACTTCTCATATATGCAGCCAATTGTTTCCCAAGGCGCTGCGACTAAGGTTTTGTGAAATAGGTAGTTCACATATCCCATGTGAATAAAAAATTCATCAAAGCATAATTAACAAAATACGAGTAAAATTCATCGGAGCATAATTAACAATTTAACAATTAGAGTACTCAAAAAGTTTGGCCATGGATATACTCCATTACTCCGTATCAAATTTGTCTCTCCCTCTCTTAAGCAACAAATCCATGACCAAACATTACTAAGACAAGTCTATTAAAATTCAAATGGCACAACTTGCATAATAATTCACAATAAAGAAGTGACCCATTTAGAGCATAGCCATCCGTTGCCCTTTTGTAATGGGAATGAAGAAAGAGAAATTGAAATAATATTATAAAATACAAAAAATAGTATTTTTGGAGAGAGAAATGTCATGACCTGATCATGATCATGGCCATGACCTCTAGCAAATGGTGGGCAAAAGATGAGGGTGTGCCACTTGTCTTATAATAATTGGTCTATAGTGTTATTTTTAATATTCTTTTTAATGCTTTATGTGCATAAAATATTTATGACTAGGGCAACTAATGACTTTGCTCTTAGTCTATAAATGGAAAAGGAATATTTGTGTTCTGTTAAGGCATGATATTTTGATGTATATTTCACCCTTCAAAAGACGGATGTACCCTTAGATTTGCTTCCCATGTCAATCTGACTGATCATCCGTATTTCCCCTATAAATATACTCTGTAATTCTCATCAAAAATAAAAATACTCATCCGTAAAAAAATTCTGTGAAAAAAACAAAACCCCTATAAATAATACTCTCTAATTCTCACCAAAAATAAAAATACTCATCCGTAAAAAAGACAAATTACAGTACATAATGATAGTAATTTGAAAATTATTATAATTTATGATGAATTTATTCAGAAATTAGCACAAAAAAGACAGCAAGAAAATACCTATGCTTAGTTGATATTCAGTGGCTACACTATTTTCCGGCAAGAGGGCTAGTTCAGGCCAACCTTCTCCTGCTTCTCGCCGGAGACCGGAGGTTATCAAGGAGATAGTGTACTGTGAGCTACTCAGCTGTGTGACCCTTCAGAATGCTTTGTACTTCATATTTTCTTTGGTTTTCTAATTTTAAAGAGTAATGCCAAAAAAAAAAAAAAAAAAAATTCCCTAAGACTCTTTTTGGCTGTAGTGTTTTGACCAATCTAAACATTACGGAGTACTAGAAAACAAGTAAGAGTTATTTTTTTTAACACAAGTAAGAGTATTTAGCCACTGATTTGAGTAGTGACCAGTGCCTTAGCCGTAGAGGACTAGCGTTTACGGATAACGGGTAGTATTTATCATATTTTGGTTACTTTTTAGGAAAAATTGTAAATAATAATCTCAATTTTGCTCCATTTTCTTTTAATAATCCCAACTTTGGATTATTCTAGAATAATCCCAACTTTAAGGGTTGTTTTTTTTCTTCAATCCCAAACCGGTCAACAAAAGTCAACGACCTCTAATAGTAGGTTACGTTACACGTGTCAGCTTGATAACAAACATCCATACAAAAAGAGAATAAGAAGCACTCACCAAAGAACCGATAACATTTTCTACCCACTACAATTCCTTTAACAGCAACCTAGTTGAAAATTGGATTCTGCATCACAGACTCTGCTCCTAGGTTCTCTGTTTTTTTTCCATAAACTTAATTATCATTACATTTTTCATCTCCATTTTTCTGCAAGAGTGTAGCTGCATTGTCCAGATACGGACCCTGCATCATAAATATGAAAAGATCAGCAGGGAGGAGCAGTTAAAAAAAATCATACAATTGAATTATTCATAAAATTGAAAGGGGCAGTAAAAAAAGACTAACATTATTGACAATGCAGACAATGGCATATACGAAAGCAACCTTGGAAAGCATAATCTAAATCTTCAACTATTAAAAAACACGACGAAATTACAAACCTTGAAGTGACTATTTCCTTCTGAATCAATATGACAATGGTAGTTGTACCTCTCTCCAGTATCCCAGTTCATCTGTGAGATTCAAAAAGTATATTAAAACAATGGTACGATACAGACCAGGCTATCATACTGAACAAAGGAAATGACTTGCACCATCCTCTAGCTTTATTTAATAAATGTCAATGTGCTTTGGCAATCTGTTGTAAACTTTGCTGAATAAAGAACTCTCACATGAAATGTAACATGCAATCATCCTAGATGCATGTGGGTATAAGTGGTATAACCATACTCTAAAGTAGAAATAATTACACCGAATTGCCTAACAGTTCATATGGGGGCATATATACGTACAATATTTTCCCATGGTATCTGAGTAAGCAAATTTGACCTTTTGTACTAGCAAATATATGCGCCACGACCATACCTACTCAAACATGACAAAATAGCAATTGAAATCATTATTTGACCTTATTAACTCGCTCTTTTTCCGGGTCTATGCCATTATGGTTCCAAATCTCGATCTCAAACTGCCTCATACCAAGTCTTTGGTAACTCAGAATTACATCAGCAGAAACATCCTTTAACTTGTCCCTGCACAAAATTCACCCATCAATATTCGAACACGCAATCAACTCAATACAAGAGACCAGATTAGACATTACCATCCAATGTAATTGAAAAGTAAGAATGTCTTCCGAAATTCAAGTGTCTCAAGTGCATCTAACACTATCCCTTTTACTCTTCAGCACAACTGGCTTCTCTTTATGGGGCACTTAAGGTGCAGTTTTTAATAATCAGCCAAATTCTTTGAATCCATCACAAAATAAAGTGTAGACAAACCTCATTAATTCACAAAATAATGTCTTGAACTCTTGTGTATTGGGAGGTCAGACCTCAAATTTTAAGGACCTGTTTGGGTCCAATTTAGTCAAAATTGGGCCTGAGCACTAAATGATCCAATTAAAAGCCCAAGGTCAAGGTTCAACTCTCCAATTGCTCAAAAGTCAAAAGTCAGCCCACAAAGTAAGCCAATTGGGCTAAAGCCCAACCTCTCCAAATATGATGAGGTATAAAAGCCCTCATATTAACACATTCAAGGAGAGAGTCATATTCTTACATAAGACATCTCATAACATCGTATACACTATCAGACACAACAACACATGCATCATCACATACATTATCTCATACACGGATTATTCCAACTCATATGCTCATTCTTGCATTGAGAAATACTCCACAAAAGCCTCAAGCTACAAACTCTCTTGCATAGTGTCTTCCTTTTTACACATTGTACTGACTTTAGCATCGGAGGGGCCTTCCTCGGAAACACCCCCGAGGCTAGTTTACGTGTGTTCACTGTGCAGGAAACCTTCGGCCCAACACAGCTTGGATCGAATCCAGTCTTCTCCATTTTAGTGGACCTTCGGCAAGGTCCCATTGTTTTCAACCGAAACAATTTGGCGCCGTCTGTGGGGAAGACTTTCAAAAATCTTTAAGCCAAATTCCTAACCAGGATCATCTTGCAATTATCTTAGCAGCCATGGCTAAGAACCGCAAGAGCAAAAGCCTCCGTCAAGGAGCGGGCGAAAAGCCTAAAACCCCTACACCATCGCCCTCGCCGGACCGGAACTCTCCCAAGGGTGCCGGCTCGGGGGGAGGATCACACAAGGAGGATTCCCTATCTCCTATAATGCATGACTCTCAATATAGGCCGGACCACTCTCGGTCTAGCAGGGGTCAGTCTGATCATAGGACATATTCGGTGTCCCGAAGCCAACCATCGGCTGCACGGCCTCATGCCCACACTCGGCCGGGGACCCCTTTGACGGGGCCCAGTTCGGAAGAGGTGGCAAGAGCGCTGGCAGTACTCATGGAGGCAATGAGGGCACAGAATATGCCACCGCCTCGTGATCGAACTCCTCCGCATACCCGGCATCAGCGGAGGAAGTTAGACCATGACGGTGGGAAGCTTCCTTCCTTCCGGGAACTGGAAGAGTGGGAGGAGGATTCTTGGAAAAATGAAAAACAGAGGAAGAAGAACTCTCAATTATTTAAAGGATCCTCATCCTCAAGACCAGCAGCGCATAAGAGCAGCAGCTCAGCTTCTCGGCCAGAATCTGCTCGCCGGGAACCTGAGACTGCTCGCAGAAGCGTCCTTGACCGACTCGGCGGCCAGGAACCGAGCGTGCGTAGTCGCCTCACGTTCCCTGCAGCCGAGGCCCAGACTTCCCAGCCAGGGACGAAAACCACTCCTACCTCTCTGAGAGGGCGGAGCGCGGTCCCTTCGGCCAGGAACAAGGGCAAGGCCATTATGCTTCCCGCTAGTTCACCATTCGAGCAATGGATACTAGAAGAGCGCGTACCCACGGTTAAAATACCGTCGCATATCACATATGACGGGACCACGGATCCGAAGGACCACGTGGCCTCGTATGAGGCTCATATGCATCTTTGCCCCAGATCCGAGGCAACTTGGTGCAAATATTTCCCAACCACTCTCAAGGGGGTCGCGCAAGCGTGGATCTCCAAGGGAGTAAGGCAAGGCTCCATAACAGGTTGGGATGATCTGTCCTCCAAGTTCAGGAGCAAGTTTTCCACGGCAAACCGCCGAGAAAAGACTACCGCAGAGCTCATGGGTCTGCAACAGGGGGAAACCGAAAGCCTCCGAGACTACCTGACCCGTTTCAGTAACGAGTCATCAAGCGTCTCTCAGCTGGACCAGGGGCTAGCTGTTTTTGCAATGCAGAATGGCCTTCAGCCAGGAAAATTCCTAGACTTCATGGTCATGCATACCCCGCAGACCTTGGAGGAAGCTCTTAGTGCTTCGGATAAGTTCATCCGAGCCGAAGAATGGAATAAAGCAAAAACCCAACCTCAATCCGGGGGAGGGAAACAGAGGCAAATACCCTTGTCTGAAGGCCAAGGCCATAAGGCAAAGGGAAAATCAAAGGCCTCGGAGCCATCTTCGGCCAGCGACCTAAAGAAGGACAGGTTTGCCTCATACACAGGCAGATACGAGTCCTACACTCCGCTCTCTCTTCCACGCGCCAAAATTTACAGTGTGACGAAGGAGGAGCAGAGTTACCGAAAGCCGAGACCACTCCCAGAGTGGTATCAGCGAAAAAATAAAAATCAGTGGTGTGAGTTCCACGAGTCTTCGGGCCACAACACTGAAGAGTGTATCCAGCTGAAGGACCAGATAGAAGACATGGTCCGGAAGGGATACTTGAAAAAATACATCGCGGATCACCGCGAGAAAAAAGAATCCGAAAGGTTAGCAAAGGACCCTCGGCAGGACCTTGATTTCCCCCGGAAAAACAGTAAAAAACCGGAGGGGAAATTCCCTCCGATCAATGTTATCTCGGGAGGAATATACTCTCGGAGGGAGCACAAGCGTCACCTTAGAGCTTTGACTCACCAGGTGAACAACGCTGACATTCAATCTCCCCAGTCGCCGGTGCCGAACATGACGTTCACAGCCGCCGACTGCCGGGGGATTACGTTCCCTCACGAGGATCCGTTGGTGATCATCGCCACGGTGGCCAACCACGACGTCAGTAAGGTCCTTGTTGACGGTGGCAGCGGAGCAAACATTCTGTTCCGAAAGGCCTACAACCAAATTAAGCTGAAGCCCAAGCACCTTACGCCGGTACCCTATCCGGTATCCGGGTTCAATGGGGCTTCAACTTATCCAGATGGGAAGGTGACACTTCCTGTCACCATCGGTTGCGATGAGGCAGCCCGGAACGTCATGATTGAGTTTTTGGTCATCGACGCTCCTTCAGTGTACAACGTGATTTTGGGGAGACCCATAATTCACGAGATCCAAGGGGTCGTCTCAACTTATCATCAGCTGATGATTTACGTCTCAGACGCCGGCTTCCCCGAAAGGACACAGGGCAACCAGAAGGACGCCCGAAGGTGCAACTACCTCAAGCCATCCAGTAGTCGCCCAGATAACGACAAGGATGAGGAGGAGAAAGAAAAAGAAAGAGAGCCAAGCACAAAAAAGCCGAAAGGCCTAAGTGCTTCGGCCCAAGGATCAGTGCCCAGAGAAAAAGGTCCCGAAAGGGAAAAGGTTGACTCTTCATCTGAGCCGAAAGACTCAGAGAGCCAGCCGAAGAACACAAAGACTGGGACACCTGCTGACATTGGCAGCAGACCAGATTCTGAAGAGTCCAGTCCATCAGCAATGGACATGGACCAACAGACTGAAACAGCAGAGTTGGCCGAAGGAGATGCTGAGAAATGTGTAACAATCGGGATGGACCTTGATCCTAACACCCGTTGTGAACTTATTCAGCTCCTGCGGGATAACAGAGATGTGTTTGCTTTCTCGGCAGCTGATATGCCCGGGATAAGTTCAGACCTCATCTCCCATAACTGAAGGGTCCATGCAAGGCCTCTCAAAATTGGGGATCTTGTCCTTCGGAATGCTGCTGCAGTTCAGAAAGGCCGAATCCATGGGAAGCTCTCAGCTACATGGGAGGGACCTTATGAAATTTATGATGAGCTTCAGCCAGGGACATACCGACTTCGGCAGTTGGATGGAACTGAGTTGAAGAATCACTGGAATGCTGATGTACTGAAAAAATACCATGTGTAAACCCTTCGGGGCAGAACAATCTTTGTAAGTACATTTTGAACTAATGACAGGCCTTGGAGCCGCCATTTATATAAAATTTACAACTGTTTATCCTTTCAAAATTTTCTTTGTTCTATCTACTCTTTGAGGGTTTTTTATTCAGCCTCGTCTGAAGCCTTCGCCTTCGGGTAACTGGGTTTCAGATTGCTGACAAAACCTGTCTTTTTAAAGAACACCGGTCTTTCAGCTGAAGTCAAACTTCAGTAAGACTTGTTCTCCAAAGACATGAGTCCATGGACAATTCTGGGATATTGCCTTAACTGAGCCTTGTATCCCAGAGAGCCATTATCCGAAACATTGCCTTAAGTTGGCCCTGTGTTTCGGGTATCCATTTTTCAAAGATAGCCAGAAAATCAAGGATAACAGCAACAGTTGAAAATTTTTAAATCAGCCTCGTCTGAAACCTTCGCCTTCGGGTAACTGGGTTTCAGATGGCTTACAAAACTCAGTCTTTTTAAAGAACACTGGTCTTTCAGCTGAAGTCAAACTTCAGTAAGACTTGTTCTCCAAAGACATGAGTCCATGGACAATTCTGGGATATTGCCTTAACTGAGCCTTGTATCCCAGAGAGCCATTATCCGAAACATTGCCTTAAGTTGGCCCTGTGTTTCGGGTATCCATTTTTCAAAGATAGACAGAAAATCAAGGATAACAGCCTTTTTAAATCAGCCTCGTCTGAAACCTTCGCCTTCGGGTAACTGGGTTTCAGATGGCTTACAAAACTCAGTCTTTTTAAAGAACACTGGTCTTTCAGCTGAAATCAAACATCAGTAAGACCTGTTCTCCAAAGACATGAGTCCATGGACAATCCTGGGATATTGCCTTAACTGAGCCTTGTATCCCAGAGAGCCATTATCCGAAACATTGCCTTAAGTTGGCCCTGTGTTTCGGATATACGTCTTCTTTAAGAACGCTGGTCTTTCAGCTGAAGTCAAATTTCAGTAAGACTTGTTCTAAAGAGGTTAGTCCCAGAAAGCTAATATCCCAAGCATTGCCTTCAGTTGGCCCTGTGTTTCGGATATCCAACTTTCAGACAATCTTCAGTAAGACTTGTATCCCAGAAGCATTGCCTTCAGTTGGCCCTGTGTTTCGGATATCCAACTTTCAG